TTTCTTCTACTTAGGAAAACCATGGAAAGTTTCTGGGCCTTGAATTCCTCTTCTGTACAACGGTGGTGGAGGAGTAGGAGAAACTCTGAGTTCTTCAATTAAAAGTGATACTTTCAAATTTATGGTTGGAAAGGATGTTATAGAATGTGTTTGCTGTCCTCTTCATCTTACACATCTTAGAAATGTGGAAACAGATATTAATTGATTTATCTAAGTTTGCAGATTGCTGGTTATTTTCAAAATTCATTAGCATACTGCCAAAAACAATTGAAAATTTAATGCAGAGTTGGACAATGAAATACTTCTCTTTTGCCTCTTCTCCAGCCTTTCGGTCACTGTCTCTTGTCATTTCTTTCTAGAGAAAAGGGATTTAGTCTCAATGTGGAGGAAGGCAAAGGAGAGAGAAGATAGAGCAAGGGGAGGGGGTGCGGGGGGATGCTGGAGAGGGCCCCGGATGGGATATCACATTAAAGCTCCTTTCAAGGAATTGGAATGGTGTGACCTTATTTTCTCTTGTTCCAAATTCAGACCATAAACTGTCTCAAAAATGTACTTTCTGATGGTTTTAGGTGAACAGATTTTAGGAAATATTTTGAACTACATTCTCTCACAGACCTTCCAATTTATCTTGAAAGCCAACTGGAACAAAAGTCTACAAATTCATTTCCAAACTATTTTCAGGTTTTTAAAAGTGTTTAAAGATTTTAGACCTTTTAGATTTTAGATTTTTTCCCCTCCACAAATGACAGATTATTCTTTAAACACTAGAGAAGATAGATCTTTTCATTCTCAGCTGTCCATTTTTATTGTATATTGATTGCTTTATGGAGGCTTATGTTGTTGACTGTTGGAGAACTTTGTGTGACTCTATTTTTGGCATTCTTTCACTCTGAGGAGGAGAATTTCCTTCCTGTTTATTCTAGTGGCATAGAAGTATTTCATCTGAGCTGCATCACTCCTTAACTACCAGTAGAGGGCACCTGAAGATTTTAATCCGTCTTAATTCACCCTTGTCATGTTCTGTCTAGTTTTAGCCTTCCTCTTGTACCACCCAAGCAAGCTTTCTGGATTCTCCATTCATGATAATACCACTGACCTCTTTGTTGCTTATCAGTAAATTCTCACCTCTTTATCTTGGAACTAAAGGCCCTCCCTTTTCTAATTTTACAGATGAAGCCTTCCTCTGTGACTGTCTCCTAATCAAATGCCATCCTGTAACTAGTGTGCCCAAATGTTTGGAACTTTTGTATTTATGCACCTCAGTGTCTTTTTTTCTTAGCTTGAAGAACTTTCTTGAATTTTTATGAAGCAAATTTCATGAAATCACAGTTCAATTTCTACCTTTCTATTATCTTACAACTCAGAAATCAGTAAACAATCTCTAAAAGTCAGCAGCTCTGCATGGGAACACGAACTATAAATTTATTTCCCATTATTTTAAAAGAGAAAAAAATTATAATGCTTTATATCATGCCAAGAACTCCCAATGAATTTTTTAAATTTTGCTATATATAGCAAAGTGCCTATGTAGAAGCATAAACTATATTGGTGTAATATAAAATAGTTACATTATATAAAATATGTGTAACATATCATGTCTCAAAAACCTTTATAATATGGAATAGTAAATAGCATACAACAATAAATTTTTTATAAATTACAATAAAACAGTAATTACAATAAAATTACAATAAATTACAATAAAACAGTCAATTTTTTTTGTGAAATGTTACCAAGTAAATATAAATATAAAGTAAATATAAATATAAAGTTTGAGGGAAATTGAGAAATAATAAAGAAAGTGTAATTGCCATTGTTTGACAGTTGGTTGTGGGAGGTAATGCTGACAAATTTGGTAGCAATGGCGAAATTTCAGGCAAATCACAAGTCTCAGGTAATTTAATTTGATTCTTATTTACATTGGTTCTGTTGAAGATACAGTCAGTCTTTGTAGCAAATTTATCAAGGATTTAAGAGAAAACATTTGCAAAATGGAGCTTTGCTTACAGTCCCATGGTTCATGTTGATTTTTTTGATATAATGTTTATTATAGGTTGATTGAACCCCTCATTCTTTTTTGGGGTGGGAAGGGTACCAGGGATTGAACTCAGGAGAATTAGTAGCCACAACCCCAGCCCTATTTTGTATTTTATTTAGGGACAGGGTCTCACTGAATTGCTTAGTGCCTTGCTTTTGTTGAGGCTGGCTTTGAACTTATGATTTTAGTGCCTCACCCTCCTGAATGGCTGGTATTACAGACATGTGCCACCTTGCCTGGCAATCCGCACTCCCCCCCACCTTCTTATGTTGAAGTCATAACCCTTGTTACTTCAGAGCGTGATATTATTTGGAGATTTTTATTTTTGCCTCTTCATAGAGGCAATCAAGTTAAAGTCAGGTCATTAAGGTGGGTGCTAATCCAATATGACTATTGTCCTTATAAAAAGAGAAAATTCAGGTACAGAGGTGCATGGGGGCAAGATAATGTGAAAAGACTTAGACAGCAAGAAGACAACCATCTGTAAGTCAAGGGGAGAAGCCTTGACAGATCCTTCTCTCAGCCTTTAGGAGCAATTCACCTGTCAATACATTGATTCTGGCCTTTGGATTTTGTGAGTCATATAAATGTGGCTGTGAGCTATAGCTGGAGTATCCCTGATTTATACAAACCTCTTAAAATTGAGTGAGATGATCAATTTTATGTGTGAACTTGTCTAGGTCATAATAATCAGATATTTGATCAAACATTATTCTAGATGTTTCTGTGAAGGTATTTTTAAAAATGAGATTAACATTTAAATCAGTATACTTTGAGTGAAGCAGATTATCCTTGATAATTTGGGCAGGATTCATCCAGTTAGTTGATTTGCTCCTAAAAAGAGGGGATTCTTTCAGAAGACTGCCTTCAGACTCAATCTGCAGCTCTTCTGTGGGTCTCCATAATGATAGTGTACCCTGCAGATTTTTAGACTTGTCAGCATATAAAATCACATGAGCCAATTCGCCAATTCCTTAAAGATTATTTTTTTCTTTACGTTCTATCAGTTCTATTTCTTCAGTGCACTATAACATATTTGGGTTTTAGTGAAGACCCATGTTTTTAACTCTATGAACATAATATTCAAATATTATTTGGAAGTGGTCATAAGTGGTTTATCTGTTGTTCAATGTAAGTTTGTTTTGTTTTGTTTTGGTGGTGCTGGGGATCGAACCCAGGGCCTTGTGCATGTGAGGCAAGCACTTTACCAACTAAGCTATATTTCCAGCCCTCAATGTAAGTTTTTAAAGGTGTTCCACATCTGGGATGATGGAACAAAATGGGTTAAAAGCAGATGGTTGTTCTATCAGGAAAATGTTAACTGGAGAAGCCAGCCATTTTCCTCTTCTGAATCCTTATAGTTCATACCAATTTCATGACACAAATTTCCTTGAGTAGTGTTTCATTATTTGCTTTATATAATTAACAATGGATATAGTTTAGCAACAATTTTCTTGTGCATTTCTATAGAAAATTAATATAAAATGACATTTTGCATATTTTTATGTTATTTTGTGTATGGTATAATGTATACATTATATACTTAAAATACTGTAAAACTATGCATATTGCATTTTATGAATGACTTAAGGGATTTTCAAAGTATGTTTTAATCACACATTTTTTGTTTAAACTACCTAACAATTAACCTTAGAGTCTAACCTTCTTGTGAGCTATAAGGAACTACAACTGATTTGTACTAAAATTAAATATAAATTATCCATCTCCCAAGAGTGTAAATCTGAAAAATTACTTAGGGATAGAAATCCATATTTTGTTCCTCAGATGTAATATTCAATAACTATTAATTATAATCCATGAATAAATGCTATACCTCAAAGAGAAAACTTTTCTTTTGCAAACACTAGTAGTGTTTTCAATCATTTGCTTTAGCTTTCATAGATACATATAGTTTTAATGAAAAATTGATTTTCATGTAGAGTTTCTGAATATTTGATTCTTTGGTGTTCTACCTCATTAGGCATAATGTCTTTTAAATAATACATTATTTTTGCAAAAACTATATAATATCGTATCATTTGCACTTAAACAGTAAGACCATCCCACTGGTGTCATAAAATCAACACATATAACACCAACCTCACATATTTCTAGAAGTGGATGGCATTAGGGCTGCTCTCTGGTTAGTATTCATATATGAAATGAGATTCACACTAAAAATTGTCCCCCTTTTTAATCATCTGTCTGCATTTGGTACTGCAAGAAAATTAATAATTCAGAGATGCTATTGAGAAGGGGAAGAATTGCCAGAAGAAACAGAAAAGAATGCCTAATGGACTTGGAGAGAATCACATGAGTTGACTCTCACTAGAAAACAAAGAAACATTGTGGTCTTACTGTTAAATTATTGCTAAGAGGTTTGGAATCCCAAGATGCTGGATGCTAATGTGTGAATAATAAGAAATTGCTCACATATTGGCTCACGGATAATTTCAGCTAATGATGTGACAAAGTCAATGGGACCAGAGAGTTCCATTATCTGACATTAGGCTGACCCTTTTTAATGAAGAGCAGTGTACTGACACAGGACTATTAAGGCTGCAGGACTCTTAACCCTAGTTCAGAGTCTTTAGTGGGCTACAGATACCAGCCTGATTTTCTTTTGTTTCTGTCTGGGGTCCAAAAAAGGCAAGTCTGTGACCAGAGCCACTAAAATGACATTTGGGAAGGCTGGTTGAAAATGTTTCAGGAATTTGTTTTGACATGCATTGTGGTCGGGCTGGATTACTTTCCAGATCTTGCATTGTCCCGACTGTGATTCCTATGTTTTTTCACTTTGTGTGTTGTGTCGGGGATGTGTCTAAGTCTTATAGGAACCATGAGTATGGTCCTAGTCGTGTTCTTAAATGTGGGCTGGGGGTTTCTTTTAGTTCCCCTGTCCAGAAGAGCCTTATCATGGATCTCATTATCATTTGAATTATTATTATTATTATTTTTTAAAGTGCTTCACTCGACAGTATATATACTAAAATTGGAACAATACAGAGGATAATAAGCTTGGCCCCTGTGCAAGTATGACATGCAAATTCATGTGTTCAATATTAAAACACACACATATACACCCCTGTACCCTGCGTACACAGAATAGCTGTTGGAATTTTTCAGGTATAGTACTTGGATATTTAGCTTTTAGCACTTTATATTTCTAATTATGCTCTATTGGCTCTAGAATTGACAGAATATTTGTTGGAAGTTTTCAGGAACAGTACTTGGATATTTAGTACTTTCTATGTCTAATTATGCTATATTGGCTCTCGAATTTAGTTGATCTCCATTCCAACGCTGTCCCAGATAATGAGAGGGACTGATCTGGTTCCACCTATAATGTCCTATCTAGGCAGGGACTTTCTTTCCTCCTCACGTCACTGTCAGTTGTCCAGAGTGCTCCCCTTTCTATCTTCTAGGAATACGTGAGTCCTAGGATACTGAAAGAAAAATTATTCTAGGTAGGGTGGATAGGATGGGGACTAAGTGAATTTTGAAAGCATACGGGCACCACAGCTCCTGGGCTCACTGCTGACTATCAGGAAGGGGTCGTGCAGCTCTCCTAAGTGGAGACTACAAAGTTTCCAAGCACTAACACTGGATCCCGCCACTGACTGCTTCCTGCTGTTCCCTGTTTCTACCTGTCTGTGTGACAAACCGTAGACAAAAAGCCCTGCCAGTCATTTAGTGTCTGGACTTGAACTTCTGTGCTCTAGTTATTTCCTTTCTTTCCATGTCCCCACCCCTGCCAGCTTCAGAGTCTTAACCTAGTTTTGGAACTGGACCCTGCGTGTGTTAGAATTGTTGTATTTTTGTTAAACATTTTTAATTCCCCTATTGGAGCTCAGTGATTAACATCTCAGAACGGTAACACCCTGTTCTTTATCTTGTGACTTTAGATGAAAGGACTGCTTGTGAAACGTGTTTAGCATGTACACCGTGTGAACCTAGAGAGAAGCGACGGTGGGGCAGATGTCTGTCTCAGCACTCAGCAGACTGTTGCTTAACTGCTTCTTCAGAGATCTCTCTCCCATATTCGATGAAACCCTTTATTTAAAGCATAATATCTTCAGTTGTGGTAAAATAAAATCTACCATTTCACCCATTTTAAATGTGCACTTCAGTAGCATTGAGTAGTTATGTTGTTGTACACCATCAGCACCTCCTTTCTAAACTTCTTCATCTTTTCAAACTGAGTCTCCATACATATTAAATTGTGACTCTCTATTTCCCCCTTCTCCCAGCTTCTGGTAAACACCATGCTACTTTATATCTTTGTAAATTTGACTATTTTAGTTAACTCAGATAAGTGGAATCATAGAAAAGTTGGACTTTTGGGCCTGGCTTATTTCATTTAGCATAATGTTCTCAAGGTTGATCCATGTTGTAGCATATAATAGAATTTCCTTCCTTTTTTGAGGGTGAATAATATTCCATGGTAGATATACACCATATTTTGCTTGTTTGTTCACCCATTCGTAGATTGCTTCTACCCATACTTATTGTGATCAGAGCCACTATGAGTGTGGATTTACAAATCTCAGTCCCTTCCTTCAGTTCTGGGTATATACTCAGAATTACCATATGATCCAATGATTGCTCTTTGATCTTTAATTTTTGGAGGGGCCACTGTACTATTTTCTATAGAAGCTGCACAATTGTATATTCTTGCCAACATTGAAAAAGGGTTCTAACTTTTCTATATCCTAGCCAACAATTGCTCTCATCTTCTCTCTTCCTCTCCTTCCTTCTTTTACCATAGTCATCCTAATAGGTGTGACTAAATGATTTTTCCTGGATAATATCTTCATCTTTATACTCCCACCATTTGGCACATGTGCCTGGATCATGTATGGACCTATTTAATAGAAATTTATTGAACTATTAGATGGTTGCAGCCAATATTCATTATAAGAAACTGTAATATATAAAGGGGATTTCTTAATAATCTGTGCTGGTATAATCTCATCTCTGTAGTATCATTCCTATGTAGGGTGTGTGCAGTAAGGGAATATTCAGAGAACTACTTGCTAATTAGATAAATGATTATGCAAGTTTGCCAATGGATTTGTCATCTATGGGTGGACTTTTTTTTTTTTTTTTTTGATTTGGGAACATTGCTGGGTTTCTTTTACTCATGTGAAGCAATTAGACACTTCATCCTGGTAAACAAGTATCCTTCTTAAATTCCTTAATAGGCTAAGTTCAAAATATGTTGAAGGGAAGGTCAGGAAGGTAAACAAATTTACATGGAAGTCAAGTAGGCTTGGGGAAAAAAGATATGTAAACACTAGATTGCTTTATCCTTGAATTTTACACTGGAATCTCTGGTGGGCTCCAATAAGAGCAATTGTCAGTATACACAAGGGTCATCAAGGGGAATTCATATCAGTGTTTAAAAAAAGTAGGGTAGGCATAAAATCAGGGCCTGGGAAAGAGGTGGAAACCCTGGCTTTGAGACAACTCTTAAGAAAAGTGGCTGAGTGTGTGTGTGCATGCACACACATGCATGTGCATATACCAAAACATCTGTGTTACTAAAGAGATAAAACACTGAATGCCCAGGCTTGATGTAAAGATAGACTGAGAAACATACACTGTTACAATGAGAGGAGAAGGTGGAATCTTTTATTAAGCATGGTCCTCAGTGAGTTGGAACTCCAGTTGGCTCCAGGGTCCTAAGATTTTCGTGGTAACAAATGGACAGATGATAGAGAACTTCTGAGAGCAAACCACCACCATGCTGGAATTCTGGAATGCAGAGTTGGGGATCAGGCAGACCTTAGGTTACCACTGAACTTCCAGCAGGGAAGAAGTGTTGTGTTGGTTGCTGGGTTGCTGGTTCATGTCACCTCCAGGTCCCAGTGCAGCTGTGAGGCAGTGTGTGTAAGAGATAATGACAGGCTCTCTATGTCCAGATGTGACTCCTGGGTCTGAGCTTTAGTTTCTTTTTGAGAAAAATTGTTGTGATGACAGCTGCTGCCTCAGAAAATCAAGCAGGTTAGTACATGTTGAAAAACTGAAAATGGTTCCTGTTACAAAACAGCATTTAGTAATGTTCTGTATGAGAGGAGAAAAGTGAAACTCTATGGGGAAGTGATTAATTTCCCCACTTTTTCTTCATAAGTACCTGGAATCACAGTGGGAGACTGAGTTATTTATCATGTTATTCAAGACTGTGAGGGAAGAAGGCCCTCTGGAGGCATTTGGTCTGATCGTTGAAGAACATCACTGCCCCTTTTACCCCTAATTTGGCGAACTTGAACATATTTCTTTTCACATTAACCTGAAGGTGTCCTGGTCCAATCTAATCCAGACAAATTCTCAGTGAGGTGCTTATGCTCAAGTGCTACTGGACAGAAATAGATTTTATGAGCTGTGTTCAGTTGGGAGCAAATGGGGCTGTCCCCTGGCAAAACCTGGAGTAGGTGAAATGTGGCCTGGTACTCTATTCTGGCCAATACTGCACATCAGCCAGAAAATTCTCCATGAGTTCAGTCTTAGTTAATGGCTTCCCACCCAGCTGCAAAGAGAGGTGATAACCTTCTCCAGCACTCTGTTCTGTATCTTTCATGATTGCCAACTGAGCATTTATCATTTTCAAGTCCTTTTGAAATGACATACAAAGAAATCACTTTTTTAAATGTCTCAGAAAATGTATCAAAAATCTCATTTTCTATTTCTATTAGAAAGTGATACATGGATCAGGATAACAGAAAACCAAGAAAAAGTTGCAGAAAAGTCTTCTGCGGAGTTGAGAAAAATCTAATGAAGGACCAGAAATGGCTCCAGCTGAGTAAGTCCTTAGTAGAAAAACATTAAACATGTCTTTGGATAGAAATATTATGTCCGAAAAGGAAGATTGGCTATCACCTCAGGTAAGCACAAAGGAAAGAAGAAAATATATCCATTCAGACTGAGTGTTAACATCAGGTCAGGTATTGGAGAGGAACCCCACTCCTAAAGCCAAAAGTACTCAAGGACACAGTGGATTGAGAAGGTGTATGTGGAAGGAAAATAGTGTTAGTCTCAATTGTTAAAGACTGAGTTAGTGTACGATGTGAAGCAATCAGAAATGTAAGACAACCATGTGCTAGAGAACAAGGCACTCTGTTCTGTATCTTTCATGATTGCCAACTGAGCATTTATCATTTTTAAGTGCTTTTGAAATGACATACAAAGAAATCACTTTCTTAAATGTCTCAGAAAATGTATCAAAAATCTCATTTTCTATTTCTATTAGAAAGTGATACATGGATCAGGATAACAGAAAACCAAGAAAAAGTTGCAGAAAAGTCTGATGAGGAGTTGAGAAAAATCTAATGAAGGACCAGAAATGGCTCCAGCTCAGAATCCAGGGACATAGAAGGTGGCAGAAGCAGGCTGAAGGTGGAGGGGGGAAAACATCAAGGTTTGTCCAGAGAGCTTACACACTCACCCTCATCTGGCTCTAATTAGAGCAGCTGGCTATAGCATTTATCCTCAGGGAAGAATTCCAAGAACAATTCTTTAATCTTATCCTGGATAAACAATTGTGTCTCCAGGGAAAGCTTGTTAAGCAGTATTAACACTTGGGCCCTAACCCCAGACCAGTTCATTTTAAAACTCAAAGGGAAAAAGAAATTCCCAAAACTGTAAGAATGGAAAAAAAATAAAATAAAAGCCAATTAATAAAGTAAGAGAACATCATACTGCTTTAGTAAAATGGAGAATAATAGAAAACAGCGGAGAAATGTCTTCAAAATTCTGGGCAAAAGTAACTAGCAAGAACTAAAATACATGGCTAAATGAGGCCCAGTTTGGATATGGAAAAAGTCAGAAAATCAATCCCCCCCTTAAAAAAAATTCTTAAGGATATACTCCTCCTAAATAAACAAACAAACAAAAAATAGAATATAAGAGTGGTGAACAAAGAATGGTAAAACAAAGAATGGTAAAACGTGTAATTATTGATAATGTTTTAAACTTTGATATAATTGCAAACAAAGGATTACTAAGAAACAGTAGCATGAAGTATAGAGAATTCAATAACAAACTGGTACTACAACTTTAAAGTATTTT